AAGAAGAAGAAGAAGAAGAAGAAGAGGAGGAGGAGGAGGAGGACGAGGAGGAGGACGAGGAGGAGGACGAGGAGGAGGGGAGGAGGAGGAGGAAGAAGAGAAGAAGCAGAAGCAGAAGAACAAGAACAAGAACAAGAACAAGAACAAGAACGAGAAGAACGAGAAGAACGAGAAGAATGAGAAGAAGGAGAGGAAGAGGAAGAGGAAGAAGAGGAAGAGGAAGAAGAAGGAGAAGAAGGAGAAGAAGAAGAAGAAGAAGAAAAAGAAGAAGAAGAAGAAGAAGAAGAAGAAGAAGAAGAAGAAGAAGAACAAGAACAAGAACAAGAACAAGAATAGAAAGAAAGAAAGAAAGAAAGAAAGAAAGAAAGAAAGAAAGAAAGAAAGAAAGAAAAAATAAAAAGAAAAAAACATTAAGGGTTAACTTCTTTCAAAAACTAGTAGAAATTGATAGTAGAATCATCCAAACCATTCTGCATATATACCTAAAGGTATATATCTTTTTCCTTTCTTTCATCTGTCCTTTTCCTCATCCCAGGTTTCCCTTCACAATGAACAAATTCCTTCCCTTTCACAGTATCTATGGTACCTTTAACTTTTTTCATTACTCTTTCAAGTTCTCCCTCTAGCAAGATAATACCATGTTAGCACATGTGGATCTGATTTATTTCATTTCCCAATATAGTCTCTAGCTGAATCCATTTATTTGCAAAAATCTCAAATTTATCTTTTTTATAGCTAAAAAATAAACTTTTATGTAAAAATATCATATCTTTTTAATCTATTCTTCAGTTTGTGGACACTTGGGTTGTTTCCACAATTTAGCCATGACAAATTGTGCTGCTATAAACATGGGCACACATACATTGCTGTGGTATGATGATTTCAGTTCTTTTGGAAAAATACCTATGAGGGGAATAGCTGGCTTAATGGGACCTCCAATCCTAGCTTTTTCTTAAATCTCCATACTGATTTCCATAGTGGCTTACCAGCCTGCACTCCCACCAACAGTGAAGAATGGTTCTTTTTTCTCCACAGTCTCTCCAGCATGTAATGATTTCCTATAATAAAGGTTCATAGTAAAATGAAATACTTGCTAGTACTGATACTCTCCTAACTTCATAGAGAAAATTCAAAATATCTTGCTTTGTGAAGAGCAGATATTTTGTGCACCCAATAATTTAACCCAACCAACTTCTACTGAACTGTTTGTAATGCGAGATTTCCAAGTGTTAGCAAGTGTTAGGAAGTGGAGTAGCTTATTTCATGTCTTCTACTTTTTGATTAAAAAGTAAATTGGAAGATGAGGGTGCAGGGCAGTAGGAGAGAATTTTCCTAGCATGTGCAAATCTTGGACTTGCTCACTTGCCCTGAAAAAAATATATATGTAACTTGGAATTCAGGATATACTCAACAATTCGCATATCATCGATACACATTTTTCAGTGAATCACTTATGGAGCATGAAGTTTATATTTTTATTGAAATTAATATTTTCCCATCATTAAAAGTATTCATGTTTATTCTAAATTATAGAAAAAAAATAACATTTGGATAAAGAAATTCCTGAGTTTTATCTGCTCATAGTGTTTATCTGCGCCTCTCCCTTGGCTGTATTGTTTACATTTATATTTTCTTATGCTGCTTTATATATTTGAAATCATTAGGTGTTATAAATTACTTAGCATTTTATTTAGTTTTACTTCTTTTCTGTAAGAAAGGACAATCACTACTTCAAAGGTTTGACATGAGTAATTATGACCATTACTGCATTTTTAGAAATAATCACACAAGGCTATAGCATTGTCGAGAGAGAGAGAGAGAGAGAGAGCGAGAGAGAGAGAGAGAGAGAGAGATCCTGGAATTCAGGAAATATTAAAAAATATGCATATCACTGGTACAATAATTTGCATAGCATTTTTCAGTAAATCAGCTATGGAACATGAAGTTTATATTTTTAATGAAATATAAACTGGACTAGTTAGCCTCAGGAGAGAAATTTACTTTCTCACTGTGTACCACGGCTTTCCTTAAGTGATGAGTTCACTAAATGACACTAAAAGACTATATACTATTCTCTCCGGTGACTGTGTACTCAATATATTTTTTCCTCTTTCCAAGTTATTTTACATCATTTTCAACTTGTAACTTATCAGCCACTTATTTTTAAACCAAGTTTGAATTTATTTTATTAGAATAGATTTCCAGAAAATGGTAACTTGGTAAACTGCTATAATTTTAAAAAATTTCTTCAATAATTCTTGACATATACTCTTCTAAAAGATTGGTGGAATTTAATTTTATATTATCTTTGAGCAAGGAAAATATTGGTTAAGTAAATGAACAAAATAAACAAAGAGAATGTTAATCCAGTTTTGAGGAAAGGTCAACAAATTGCTTTATGTATTCATAAAAATTTCATGAGCCGAAGCGCATAAAATGATAAGTGCGCTAATTAAGGTTTATAGTTTCATTAAATTCAATGAGCAAGAGGTAGGCACTATTTATTTCAAAAGAGGTACATTTTTCTCCCTAAAATCTTAAAAATAACAAGGAACAGAATTATGGGATGAAGTGATAGCCAGCAGCTTTCAGAGACAGAGTCAGGACAGAGGTGAGGACAGAGCAAGGAAAAGGCGCACGTCCGACTCTGAGTGAGCACAAGGCCACCACGGCCTCCCACGTCACGTATACATCACCCATCACGTGGTGAGGGTGACTATGTTAGTGGCCTCTGCGGTGATGACAACAACCAGTCTGAAAATATACTGCTTGAATGAAAAGTGTTTAAAAATCTGCTAAAAGAAGACTGAAGTGATCAATGTAAAAGACCTAGTCTTCCAGGTCAGAGTTTCTCCTCACATTTGAATGTAATATAAATTACCACTCAGAGGCTTGCCAGTAGTAGATTTCAGACTATTGGATAATCATCTAAAAATCGAAACTAGAACTGTGCTTTATGCCATATGCTGGAAGCCATGTCCAATGAAATGAAATTGGAGGAAGCCTGGATGAATTCTTCTGACCTGAAAATGGGGATCACTTTTTAAATTATAACACAAATTCAGAATATTTTTTTAAAAAGGAAATGATGGCCTTTTCAACACAAAAACTTCTAAGTGGTAAATAAAGAAACAAAAAAAGGCATGGTCAAAAATGAAAAAAAAGAACAAAATGCACTGCAGCATTTATACAATAGACAATGGGCTAAACACAAATAAATCAAAAAATAAATGGACAAAAGCTAAGAAATTAGTTCCTAGACAAGGAAAACAATGAAAAGATTTTCAACCTTATTTATATTAAGAGTAGAACATTCAGAAATTACTCAGAAACACATTTTGAAAAACCTATCAAGCAGCCTTTTAGTTCTAGTCCTCTTGTGCTTGGGGAAGCTGTTGAGAAAGGACTCGGATGGATTTCTCTATTCCTGCTAGAATAGAGGCAAACTTTAGAGAAAACAGTGAGGCAGCAAGAAAAGCAAATTCTCATTTTGCTGTCCAAATGACCGTTCTTCAGGGTTAATCGGAACCGTTGCATTTGCTAGCTCCTCCGCGGCGCGGCTCCTGTTCCTCAAAGCCAAGGTGCTTTCTGTAACGCAGTGCTAAAGGCCTGGCTAACGTGAGCCCGCCGCCAGGCACAGCGTTACTTGCCGAGGGTCCCACGCTAAGACCTCTCAATGCTGCATCTCCACAGAACAGAAAGAGAAGGCAAATATTACATTAGTGCATTAGTAGCGAGACAAGTACTAAAGCAACAAAAGAGGGCCGAGTGCTCAAAGGCCCGCCGTGTGGCTTCCCCCTTCACACTCCGGAAGGCAGCAACTCCCTGTTCTGAAGTGAAGGAAAGTGACTTGGGCCAGACTGGAGGTGGGAGTAGGCAGCCCACGGGGAAGTGGCCGCTCCTGCTCCCTGAATGTCACACTGCCGGCGAGCAGGCTGCCTGCGTGCTGTGCCGCGAAAACACCTGGCAGGCAGAGGAGAGAGACGTAGCTGAGCGCGCAAAGTAGGCCCTGAGCTGAGCATTCATTTCTAAGTAATGATCACTTGCATTCAGTTGCTCATTTTGCTCCGGCGGAGGCACATGCAGCAGGCAGGACGCTGTGAACTCTTCCGCAGGAAGCTGCAGGTAGGAAGTCAGAAGAGGAGGGCAGGAGAGAAGAATCTGAGCCACAGTCGGAGTAAAGCTAGTCAAAGCAAAGCTGGGGTTAAATTCCACTTGCAGGGCTTAGGCCTGTATGTCTCACCTCACTGAGCCCCAGATTTCTTTACTTGTGAAATTCAGGCAATGACTTCATCGTGATATTGAATTAGAAGCCACAGACTCCCTATTTAAGGATCAGTCACGCGCTAGGCTGCTGCCAGTGGTAGCACGAATGACGCCTCCTCGCCCCTCCTTTGCCTGCAGAATTTCCTGACCCTACAGCCCCAGCATGTCCTTAGACCACCCGAGTGTATTTTTCCTCCACACACCTCAAGATTGCCTTCTCTGTGCAAGAAACACTGGAGCTCAAAGGGATACGTGCATTTTCTGGAAAACAAAAACCTTGCTTTGCAGTCAGATTCATGAGGCCATTAGTATCTTGTTCTTTTCATTAGTTACCTATTCAAGTCCAGAAAACATTTAATTTCTGCCTGGGAGTTAATTCAATTGAATTAAAATTCAGTCAGTGAATATTGGGGGGAGGCCTTTCGTTTATTCCCAAGTCCAGCAGGGTGTGCGTCAGGAGAGATAAGGGCTCCTTAGCCTCAGGTAGAGGAAGCTGGCCTGTCCTGCACAACACTTTAGTGCTAAAAGCTGCCCAGGGCAAAGATGCCACCAAACCTGCTCTCTGTTCACAGAAGACAGCAAAGCTCGGCTCAGCAGCAGCCCACCCTCGGCCACCCTGGGCAGCCTCCTGGATGACCAGCACTGGCACTCGGTCCTCATCGAGCGCGTGGGCAAGCAGGTGAATTTCACCGTGGACAAACACACGCAGCACTTCAGGACCAAGGGTGAGGCAGACGCCTTGGACATTGACTACGAGGTGAGTCGGCTCTGCCTGCACATCCCCAGCCCCCTCACTCAGGAACTCTGAGAAAGTGAACACAGCCGTAGGGAGACGTGAGATCCCGTGGAGTGGCGAAGCTCGCCCTGACACTTCCCTCCCTCTGTGCATGCCAGATAGACCACAGAGGGAGGAATATAAGCAGAGGCATCTGACATGAGGTGGAGAGATGCAGCCGGGACTGGGGTCTTCCAGAAGGTTCCTGCTATCCTTGAGTACTACGACTCAGTCCTTGAAAACTCTTGACTCTGTGTGTGTGTGTGTGTGTGTGTGTGTGTGTGTGTGCACGCTTGCAACCTGCCTGTGTCATTATTGAATCTGTTGCTTATATAGTCGTTTTCTCTTTAAAAACAACCTCAATTAGCTGGAGTAATCAAAGATATACATAGCATAAACAAAATCTCCCAGCATCTAAAATCTACACTATCAGCACAGTCTTTTCAACTTCATTTTGTTGCAGGCTTCTACTACTGTACAGGGAGGCTGTTTCTCACTTGCTCTGTTGTAGATGAAGCCTCTGAAGTGCACCAGCTCTGCAGTGCCGAGAAGGTTACACAGAACTGCTCCAGTTGGCAGCCAGGAACTGTGCAGCCAGGCAAATAGTGCACTTTCTGTTGTCGTCCCCGCCCCCCCATAGCAGACCCTGTGCGGGGCTCAGAGTTTAGATGGGAAAGTCTTTGAGTTGGAGAAGCTCTCAGCCAATAGCAAAAGAAGTCACTGAAGAAGGGGCTGTTGAGGCAACAGTGGACAACAGCAGAGGGAAGCCCTGGGCAGGACACAGGGGTCAGCTTGGGACACAGCCGCAGGCTTCAGGCAGCAGTGCTAAGTGTTAGAAGGAGGGCACAGTGACCCCTATGATGAAGGGCGGGAGGTGTATGCGGGCACAGTGGCCGGAAAGTTGCAGAGCCACATGTGTGGGGTGCGGCGCAATAGCCTAGTGGTGGCGTGCGGGGTCAGCTCCGCCCCCAAGGGCTGCATGTTTGATTTTTAGGAGCTCTGAGTCACCTCATATGCATAGCAGTTGTTAAAAGTTAAGTAAACTTACAATAAATAAACCGGCAGCTTTCCACCTATGCAGTGGAAATACCTTAGATTGTGCTGAAACAGCAAATTGCTTCCCAATTCGGTGGTCAGGGACACTGTCCAGATTGCTTGAAATCTGCCAGAGTAGAAAGCGTTGTACCAAAGACCCTGAAAAATGCTACAAATTAAGGTTCAGTTGTCTTCTTGATTATCCAGAAGTATATGGTTTGAATACTATTTTTGAAAGGCTTGTGGTTTAACACCTATTTATATTTTTTAAAACTTGTAGAAAAAGTAAGATAATATACCATACAGACTATATGTGACTACTGATAGAAGAGTTTATTTAAAAACAAAAAAACAAAATTATCTTTGAGAATCAGCTGACTAATAGATGGATTTTTTGATAAAGTTTATCATCTAGAATACTATTTGCAAATTGTTTGTATGTGTTGCTTATGCCACAATATGTTTTACTCACTGCACACCGACAGACACACACACACACACATCTTTGCTCATGTGTGTATCCAGCTTCAGTAGCCATTTTTAGACTTAATCAGCATGCCACCTGAAGGAAGGAATAGTGATGAAACATGAGACTTGACCAAGGACAAAGTGATAGAGTGCCATGTGAGTCCAGTTAAAGATCCTCTGGAAAATGTTTTGCAGCACAGTGACATAGATAATTTTATGTTTTAGGATGATAACTCTAAATGGCTGATTTAGTTAGCAACCCTAGAAACCTTGTTAAAAGTAGGTGCATCCAGGTCCCATTCAGACTTACTAAATCAAAAGTCTGGGGCCGGGGAGATGGCTCAGTGGAATAAGCACTTCCCTGGCAAACTCAAGGGTCTGAGTTCAATCCCCAGTTCTGCCAAAAAATAAAAAATAAAAAAAGAAAGAAATAAAAATAAGCTAAATCAAAAGTCTGAGGGAGGGTACAGCAGTGTTCGCTTAGATCGCTTTGGGAGATGCTGTTATTTCCCAGTATCAGAGAGCCCCAATCTTGCAGCAGTCACTAAGGAGGACGCTTGTGGCTTGGACTTGTGAGAAGACATTGCTGGACAGAGGGTAGCAAACCCTGACAGGAGACCATGTTAGTCCCTAGTGGAAGAGGCAGTAGACCAGGGTGGGTGGAGATGAACAACTGAGAAAGAAGAGCTGGGTTCTCTTGTTTCAATCCCAATCATGAACTCTAAAAGATATCTCTTTCTTTGATCCTAAACTTTGTGTAGTTCACTGTGGATAAAACATGCCTTTATTTAACTTCAAAAGAGAAATTGTCACTCTATGACTCAAGAATGCAAGACACCAGGTAGATATTTTTGAGTTGCCGCATATTGAGAGTCTTTGACTATCCCTCATTTCCTGTTGTCAACTTGTTTAATTGATTGAAAACACAAAGAGAACACACCATATTAGAATTGTTTCAAAGCAGAGAAAAAAAAGTCTTTAGAAAGTTGAAGATAACAACAATACAAAGCACCCAATTTCACCAGGCAGTTTCTTTTTTCAATAATGTCCAAAGGAATACACTCATGGCACTTAATTTATGAAGATTGAAAAGATTTCTTCAGGGTGTGTCTGGATATCTTGGTGCCTTATGAAATGCTCGCTGGAAAGAAAGCGTCTTTAATCTTCCTCTCAAGCAGTCTCTGCTCTAGCAGTTCAAGTCCCTTCCAAGTGCGCAGCTAGGTCACTCCAGTGACCATAGGAAACTGATTAAATATAACAGAAAGGGAGACACTGAACAAACTGAAAGACAAGGTCAGAGTGTTGGAAGAAGTCTCTAGCCTTCAAGAGAATGAAGAATGCATAGAGAACAAAGTGTGCGTGTGTCAGATGGTTCTATATTCTAAGCACTACCCTACCGCTAATCAGTTGGATGAAGTGGGAGATGTAACCTCCTGACTTCAGTTCCTCAAAAGCAAACTCAGCACCACTGTGGAAAGGAATAGATATCTGGATCAAAACCTGTCTCATCATAATGTCGTCTGTTGCTCAGGGCCCAGTTTATTGTTTTTTCCTTCTGCGATAGGCTACCTGTGTATGCACACGGCCTAGATGCTGCCACCTGGAAGAAAGGATGGGGTTCATATTCCTGAGTCCGGTGAGCCCTTGTCAAAGCTGTCTTGTGAACAGACAGCTGTATTCCATCAAATTTCATACAGGGCTCACTAGCTGTATTATGCAGAACTACTTCCCTTTTCAAATATTATCTGGATGAGGTGCTGTTTGGTAAGAAAATGTGGTGGTTCTCGTACGAGAGCAGCCAGGTGAGGTCTGCAAAGGCTGTGGGCTGATTATGGTGGCTCGTTCTCTTCCCACTCCAGACATCTGTGTGTGCCCAAGAAGGCTTTCCAGGAGTGCTCTGTGGACTGGTTCCCACCGCCCTCTTATAGCTCCCCAAATTCTTAAGCACGTGTTTTTAACATGTATGATTTAGAATATATGCAAGAAAAATGTTTGACAAAATACAAAACATATTTTCATGAGACTGGGCGTGGTCGCATGCACCTGTAATCCCAGCTCTTGGGAGGTTGTAAACAAGGAGATCACTATGAGTTTGATCTAGTAGTGAGACCCTGAACACCCAGTAGACCCTTCCCTAAAATGCAAAATATATATTTTTTTCATGAAAATTTTTATTTTAAAAAACAACCACAACCACAAGTGTAGACTCACGGGAAATCCTAAACATTTACAAATACATGTGTGATATTTCTATATTTTCAAATGGAAATTTATAGAGCTTGAAAAACAAGTTTATATTATTAAAAAGTTTGAAGTCCTTTTAATATGACAATTTCATATTGGAGATCAAATATATGAAAAGTTTAGTCAATATAAAAGTAAAAATAAACAACACAACTTAACCTTATATAACACATACATCTAATGACATCATCCTCCAACAAATTCTTTTTTTTTTTTTTTTTTTTTTTTCGGAACCAGGGATTGAACTCAGGTCCTTGCACTTGCCAGGGAAGCGCTTATTCCACTGAACCATCTCCCCAGCCCCAAATTCTTTAATAAATAAAAATAATCCACAAATTATTAAAAATAGCTAATAGTACAGAATAGTAGAGAATAAAATTGAATAAACAAAAATATAAATTAGTTTCCTATATGATAAAGATGGTTTTAACTTCACTCATTAAAAACTCATCATTATAATAATCATAGTAAAATGCCACTTCCTGTTCCACTGAGATTTTTAGCTTAGATTTCCACAACCAATACTTCAGTGTCAGTAGCACAGCTGCAGGGCAGAGCCGCGCACCTCCCAGCATCCCCACAAGGCACAGAGTCAAAGCTCCCAGCGCAGCTGATCTGTGTGATCTGCATGTGGCCCTTTGCTTGCTGTTGCGCTCCCACCATCTGACTCAGAGAGAACCAGGGGTGCAGGTGGCGGGCAGCTGCCCTGAGGTCCTGTCCTGTGGGGCTTTCTATCACACAGCCCGTCCTGGGGCTGCTTTCTTTCACCTCCCAGGCTCTGCTGTGGAATGTTTTTTTAAAAATAATTTTATTGAGAAACAAATAGCAATTAGTTTCAATACTGATTACTAGCTCAGTTTCATAATTAATATATTACATATTATTATCTTAGTGGTTATTCATTGTACAAGATGCAGACATGATATCCTGTCCACAAACAGTACTAGAACAAATCTCTCTATTCATTGTATTAAGAGAAAGTAGTTGTATATCTATCCTAACTATTTTTATATACAGATACAAAATAGTCCTTCATTTATATCCCCTTTTTTGTTTAGTTTTGTCAGAGAAGAGTATCCCATTGTCATTTAAATATTGTAAATGCATGAATTCAGCAAATAATCCATTATAATCATCCAGTAGTCCATAATACTAGTATTTTATCTGTAAGACTGGCAATGTCAGAAGTGGTTGACTTGAGCCTTTTACAGCTCAGCATATTAGTATGGCTTTAC